GCATCTCTCCATCTCCCTCAGGGATCGCTGAGCGCCTTCACTGAAGTGTGCTTCTTAGTAGCCTCACACCCTCAGACACTTATTTTCAGACAGGGTGTCAGTGTATAGCTTTGGCTGGCCTAGAACTTTTGTTATGTAGGACAGGCTGGTAAAATCTCTCTCTTTCTCTCTCAATCTCTCTCCGTGTGTGTGTGTGTGTGTGTGTGTGTGTGTGTGTGTGTGTGTGTATTGCATGTGCCACAACACCTATATAGTCAGGAGCCAGCCTGAAGGATTCAGTTCTCTATCCACCACGTGGGTGGCAAGGATGAAGCTCAAGTTGCCAGGTTTGGTGGCAAGCACCTTTACCCACTGAGCCATGTCTCCAGCCTGGAGCGTAGGGTACCTCTGTGGCTTTGGAGGCTGTCCTGGAGCTTGCTCTTGTAGACCAGGCTGGTCTCGAACTCACAGAGATCCGCCTGCTTCTGCCTCCCGAGTGCTGGGATCAAAGGCAAGCACCACCCCTGCCCAGCTAAACCACAGATTTAACTCTGAACTCAGAACCTCATCTGCTCCGGGGGAATTACAGGCAGCTATGACCACAGCGCCACCTTCTGGCTGATGCCAGCTGCACGTACAAGCAGGCATGCTCCCAGGATGCAGCAGGGACTCTGTGCAAACTGCACAGGGCTGCACTTGCTTTCTACCAGGGGAACCAGGTGAGAGTGAATGTCAGGAGCAGCATTAAACGCCCAAGAGATGCCACCAAAGTACACAGTAGAGTGCTCGCGTTGGTCATAAAAAGTGCTTTTGCCAAGGGTTTGAATGTGACAAGTGCGCAAATAGTGGCTGCACGGTTCCAGTCCTAAAGCTACCATGGTCCCTGTTCTACAGTTTTGTTACCTTCTTGGCTAACAGCAACCAAAGAGTCCCAAAGTTAGTCTGCTGTCCCTGGCTGCTCGGGGCCTGCGGAAGGAAGTGCGGATGAGCCACTGATTGGGCCAACTGACTCATGGTGGGGGACCCTGCCTTTGAGCCAGAGATGAAAGGGGGCATAGTTGCCTTAGGGAGGTAGGTGGAGCTGGCAAGTCAGGACAGGACCACCTGGCTGCTCAGCCTTTGGGTCATCGCCAGTACCACAAAAATAAAGACGATAAACAAATCAACACACAGAGCTGGGCATTTGGCATCCAGCACTGGGAGGCGGAGGCAGGAGGACAGGGTTCAAGGCCATCCTCTGAAACATAACAAGTTCATGTCCAGCCTGGGCTACAAGAAACCTTGTCTGGGAAAAAAAGAAAAAAATCATGCAGGGGTTGGGGGGCAGGGGAGATGCATAGTCTTTATCTCCTGAGGGAAGCTTCCTTTCTTGAATCTGGCTCAGAAAAGGCTAACCTTGACCCTAAGGGATGCCAGGCCCAGACTCCAAACAGGCATCCTTAGGACCTGCCCTTGTTGCTTTCTGTGTGACCCTTGTTGCTTTCTGTGTGACCCAGGCTGGGGTCACACAGAAAGGCTTCTGTAACTAAGGTGTGGTCAACCAGACCCAGGCACACAAGCATCCCCTTAGGCCGCCCACTTATTACAGTGGCTATCCCCTGCTTCCCTTCCCCAACCCTACTGTGCTAGGTGACTGGAAAGTGTGTGGAGTAGTGCGCTTGGGAAAGGCTGAGCCACAGGGAATGGTCACGGCTAGGAGGAAGGCAGCTGTGACCAAACAGCAGAGTATGAGTCAGGTAGGCTATTTGGAGCAACTGGATCCCTGCGTTGGAGGCTCGGTTGCCTAGACAATGAAATGCAAACACGGTATTACACACCAGTGAACTTTAGAGCGCCATCATGGCTGCTCTATGCAGGACTATGCAAATCGTGGAGTTGTGCACATAGGAGTTTTCAGCCTGAAGTACATGGATGGGGGGGTGTGAGGAGGGCTAGAATAATATGTAGAAGTGGCCAAGAGGGTGTCTTTTTCGTGGGATGCTCTCAAGAGCTCAGAGGGCTAGGACCCGACAAAATGTTAAGGCCACACTGCCAAAGTGCAGACTGTCATTTTTGACCAGCTAGTGGAAACTCAAGGACACAGTTAGGGGGCACAGCTAATGATGGAGCACCTGCCTAGCGCTGGGTATGGTGTCACCCAGCACTCTGGAAGAGGACACAAGAGGATTTGAGAGTTCAAAGCCATTCTATGCTACATAGCAAATTTGTAGCCAGTCTGGGATACGAGACCTTGTCCAGGAAAAAAAAAAAAAAAAAAAAAAAAAAAAAAAGGAACCAAATGTGGGGGGCTTATCCTGGGTTAACGCCATGATCCATGTACCTCGAGTGTTCTATGAAGGAAGGAGTTCAGAGGTCAGCTATGGGGAGTCAGTCTACAGGCCTCCGTTACCAAGTTCTCACTCCAGAGATGGAGGGTCCAGGAGAGACAGGGTGACTAGGTCCTGAAGGATGGCAGAGGCTGGAAATCTTGTCTGCTGATTATATCACCCCCGTCTCCCCCAAAGAGCCTCTGAGGAAGAAACATACCTGCTTCCCTGACATTATCTTGAGATGACTTCTTTGGTTTGGTTTTCCCTTGTGAGGACCGAAAGCTCAGATGAGCATGCCCAGCTGGTCAAGGGTTCGGGAAGGACACCATGAAAAGCCAATCCTGTCAGAACTCTACAGTTTGGTAGACCTGAGTGCTTTATGCATTCCTAGATCCCTTTTTATATGACAGGGTTCCTCTGTGTGTCCCAGGCTGGCCTTGGACTCAGTGACTTGATATATAAACATAAACCAATGAACTCCATAACTAAACTACACCCCCCCAGGCCCAAAAAACACACATTTTTTTTTTTTTTGATCAACTTTCACTATGTAGCCTCTGCCTCCCAGGTGCTGGGATCAAAGGTGTGTGTCTGTGCCACCATACCCAGCCTTCTGTGTTTCATTCTGTGCTTGTGAGCAGGAAGGGACATGTAGAGGTCAGAGTACAGCTTGCTGGGGTCAGCTCTCACCTTCCATCACAGGGATCCCAGAGACTGAACTCAGGTTGTCAGGCCAGCAAGTAACTTGCTTCACCCACTGAGACATCTCGCCGATCCATATTTTATGTTTTTCGAGACAAAGTTTCTGTGTGTAGCTTTGGAGCCTGCAGACCAGGCTGGCCTCGAACTCCTAGAGATCCACCTGCTTCCCAGCCGTCTCTGATGTTTTTGTGTGCTCCTTGTTGTCTGCGTGACATCTGGTGTAACCCCGAGGAAGGTTGTCCTTGAGATGGGTTCTCTCACTGATCTGGGCTTAGAAGGAGGGGTAGGCCGTCTGGCTGGAGTCCCAGAGACCCCTCGTCTCTGTGCCAGGGTTACAAGCAGGCACCAAGCATCGTGTTTCTATGTGGGCTCTTGGGGCCAAGCTTTAAGACTTGTGCTGCACATGCTGAGCCACGCCCTCCTTATGCTGCCAAGGCAGGCCGGTTGGTTACTAAGCGAGACCCCGCACCCAGCCCTGTGCTCTTCGCCTATCTTGATTTCTCGCCTCTTCTAAACTAATTATTTTTATTTCCATTCACAAATCCCTGTGTTTTTGTTTGAGCTTGAGGTGGGGTCTCATGTATCTGACTGGCCTTCACTGTATTCCTGCTGCCCGCACTTCTTCAGTGCTGGAATTGGAGGTCTGTACCACAGTGCCAGGCTGTAGATTGTGGCCTGGCCCAGGACATGAACCAAAGGACATGGCTGTCCCCATTCTTCACAGCAGCTTGGATTACTGTCAGGTCAGAAGAAACAGGCTCAGAAAACCAAAGGGACTTGCTGAAGGACAGTTTATCATCTAGCTTCACCTCTGGGCCTGGTACCCTGTGTTTGGCACTGCCCAATCCCACAGTTCCGTGATGCCTGGGTAGCTCCAAGTCACCAATCTACAGCTACAGAGCAGGGGCTGTCCAAACTGGCTGTTTATTTCCCATGCCAAGTGAGACTGCGACCCCAGAGCGCTCCAGAGCTGGGAGGCCACACCCCACTACTCAAGCCTCGATGCAGCAAACTTTCATAAAACACTGCTCAGGGAAGCAGTTACGGGCCAGTGCTGTGTGGATGGGCTTGGCTTCATGAACACAGTGAATCTGTCACCCTGCCTGAGTCATCTGGGTGCCATCTCTGCATTTTCCTCTCCTCACCTACTGTCCCAACCACCTAGTACTTCAGCTAGTGCCACAGATCAGAGGCCCAGCGTCCTGTGTCTGCTCCCTGCCCATCTGAGGGGGCCACTCCTCTGCCCTTCCTTTCTCCCCTGCCTTGATCTGGTCCCAGGACCCCAGCTTGTCCCCACCTGGAGAACTATTGTTCCTGATATATTTGACATAACACACAAAGCAGGACATATATTAGAATATATATATTCCAACTCACTGGTAGAACCCTGGACTGCCCAGACAGGACAGGTCTCCCGCGCTCTGAACAACTGGCCTTAGCACACTACCTACCCTTGACTTTCCAAGACCCATCCATCTCCGTGTTGGCAGCGCGCTCCCTGGTCCTTGTGGCTCCTTCCCCCCACCCCCAGTCAGGACTTCATGGTCCTGGATGGGAAAGCAAAGCCTCAATCCCCCATCCTCTATCCCACACTCTCAAGACCTTCTCATGGGTAAGTTCTAAGGCCAAGGAGCGAGGAACCTACCCTTGGCCTGGCCAGAGCATGAGACTTCTGTTGCAGAGACCTGTGTGATGCAAACGGTTTTGATCTCATCTCCAAGACCATCTAGCAAGACCAGCTCGGGGACAGGCAGGTGTTAAAGAGATCTACCTACATTTGGGAGGCGCTGACAGGCACTGTCAACCCCCATGAGTTTCAGGTCAGACTTAGAACTGCGTGTAAACTGGTTTCAATAAACTTTGCTAAAGCAGACAGTATCAGATAGCAGAAACAGGGCGCAGGCCCAGAAAGCTCCTCCTTCCCCCTCCCTCCCCCATCTGCCAACAGTCCATAGCCAGGCTGTCCCTCGGTGCTTCTGGAAACAGGCATGCTTCCATCTTCCACGTGGCTCTGCTACTCACACATCCACCTGTATCTCTGTCTTCCAGAACAAAGGCCTTTGGTGGTGTCTGAGCTGGGACCTATAATACCCGGTGTGGCCTCTCCCCCACCCCCCCAAACTAACTGCCCAAATCCAACCCCTGGAAGTGAGCCGAGTGAGCCACAGCTCAGGAGGTGGCTTTCCAATGAGTCCCAGGGTAGGCATAGGAAATGGGATGGCGCGTCCCCGGCCTCACGGTGAACGTATTGATGGGGCTTCCATAGTGGGTGCCGTATGGAGACCTGGAGAGTGGAAGGGGGCGCGGTGAAGGTTCACTTGCATTTGGTTGCTCCCCACTTAACCCACCTCCCCCAGGACAGAAAATTGTAAAATGTGACGGGATGGACTTCCGAGCTCCAGGGTGGGACCAAGGGCATCGGCCAGCAGGGCTGTCTGTCTGTAGAACTCCCCCGGTACTCTGTCACTCAGACCCCTTGGCTCCCAGCGTGTGTCTGGATCCATCTTTCCACCCGGGTCCACCAGGTCTCCCTCTCCTCTACATTTGAAGCCCTGAAACCCCAGCGGGGAGTAAAGAGGTGTGCTGGGAAGTGAGGAGCCAGCCGACAGCACCCAATCTAGGTCTTCCCTTTTCTCTTAGTCTCAAGCTATGGACGTGCCCTTGGCATTAACTCTGTTCACTTATCCCTGGTCGTGAGCCCCCGGAGACCCTTCCCCAGCTCACCTGGTGCTTTTAGGAGGGACGAAACCATAGTCACCGGCTTTGCCGCCACTACCACCACCTCCGCCGCCGGGCACCTTGTACTTGACCTCAGCTGCGCCTCGGGCGCCCTCCAGCGACAGCCTCCGTGCGTCCAGGCCTCCGGGGGCCGCGCGGCCAGCCGAGTTGACCCGTCGCATCTCGGGGCCTCCCGGCTGCGGTCCGAAGCAGTTAGGGGAGCTCATGCTGCGTCCGGTGGCGCCGCGGGGCGTCCCGGGGTTGTGGTGGGGCTCCCCGACGTACAGGCGTTTCTTGATGAGCGAGCGTCCGCTGCCGGAGAAGCGATCCAGGCCCCCGAACTCGGGGTACTGAGTGCCGGGAAAGCGCGAGAAGCCGCGAGCGGGATTGGCCCCGGGGCTCGCCTCCAGCGCCTGTCCCAAGTCCGAGAAGTTGTTCCTGGGTGGAGACCCGTGACGACCCTGATGCTGCAGCTCAGGGGCGGGGGGCTCCGGGTCGTTGCTGAACTCTGGAGGCGGCGGAATGATATCAAAGCTGAACTCCTCTTCTTCTTCCCTCTTATAGGAAGGAGAGGGTGGAGAGGAGAAGGACTTGGGGAGGGCGCGGGCTTGGGGTAAGCTTGAGGGAGCCGGTCTTTCCCGGGTCACAGCGGCCGGGGTCTCCGCCTTGGTCCACCCATGCCTGTGGGTTGGCTCTGGGCCCTGTGTGTCTCGAGCCTGCTGTGGCTTCCACTGACTGGGTCCAGCGGGCCGTGTTGAGGTCCGATGGGAGTCCTCTGTCTCACTGGGTGCCTTAGGGACCACAAGGAAGGAGTTGGGCCGGCTACCTCTGTAAAAGATGCTGTCAGAGCTGGCCTCTGCTTGGTTGCTATGGTCACGGAGACTCCCTGGCAGAGAGGACCTTCCCAGCCCCATCGCACTCCCTCCAGGCCTGGTCTTCTGTGCCCTCTGTCGGGCTGCAAGGAGCAGAGCCATTGGGGAGCCCCGCTCCACCACCTCTCCAGTCACCGGGTGTCTGAGGAGTTGGTCAGCAGGCTGGATTGGGTCAAGAGGTTTGGCTGGGTGACTTTGGGGCTCCTTTTCGTCCACTTGTCCCCCTGAGCCTGTGGCCTCCCCTCTGGCCCGAGTGGGAATCACCACAGCAACCCCTCGGCTGTGGCTGTTGTGGCTGCGATGGGGTCTGTAGAGAAATGGTACCTCCTCTCCACCAGTGGACATCTTTGGTGGGAGGGCTGGAGGGGAGAGGGCTCCATTTGTGGATAGTTGGGTGGCCACTGCATTTTCTTGAGAGTCTGGCTTTTCTCTCTGCCTCACTGGGACAAGGTCCTTCTTGGCCATTAGCGGAGATGATGGGATGGACAACTCAGGTGTGTCTTTGGGTGGCGTGGCCTGCCCAGGTGGGACCTTGGATGGCGCGGTCTGCTCAGGTGTAGGCTTGGGTGGTAAGGCTGGCCCAGGTGTGGCCTTAGGTAGGATAGCCTGCCCAGGTGCAGGCTTGAGTGGTAAGGGTGGCCCAGGTGTGGCCTTGGGTGGTGTTGCTGGACCAGGTGTAATCTTGGACTGGAGTGGAGTGGCAGACAGCTGGGGTGGATTCTTGGTGACAGGCTTATGTAATCTGCCATTATCAGTCCCATTTTCAAAGATTCTTCCTCCTTCCAACCTGGGTTTGGGAGGCAGAGATGCTATGCTGGGTTTGGCTTCTTTCTCCACTGAGGAGGCAAACCGAGCCTCTAGCTCACTCCGGATCTGCTTGACACTGGGGGCTGGAGTACCCTGGGGGATGTAGTCCACAGGGGGCAGGGGCAGGCTGCTGGTGGTTTCTCTCTCTGGCAGGTAGCTGCTGGAGGGACTCTTCTCAGAACCACAGGGGTGTGTCTTCTCAGGCAGGCTTGGCGGAGCTGCCTCCTCTGATGGGCTGGGGCTCTTCTTGCTCTCCTTTTCTTTCAAGGCCACCGTAGGGACTGGCCTGTGGCTGAGTGGCCGATCCTCTTTCCTGGAGCCACAGAGATAGGCTGCCAGCTCACTTCGAAGCTTTTCCATCTGCCCGGGGTCCCTCCAGTCAACGGGTTCTGACGAGGCTGTGTCCTCCAGAGTGGGCGGGTCGGGCTTGGAGTTGAGAGGAGGTGAGCTGGTTTTGGGGGTCTTCCTAAATGCAGAAGACGGAGGGACTGCCTGCTCGGTGGAGGGCAAAGGAGGAGCAGTTGGGGGCAGGGAGGACGCTGGTGGAGGGAGTGGAGGAGCAGGTGGAGGCAAGGGAGGCGCTGGGGGTGGAACTGCAGCTTGTCCGTCTGTCTGGGGTTCAGACTGCCTGAGCCTTGGGCTGCCTGGGGTCTCAAGCCTGGGCTCTCTCTGGTGCTCTGGCTCTGGGGCCCTGTCTGGGTAAACTTGAGAGGCAGGGCGGACGCTGAAGCTGGAAGGCGGTTGGAGGTGGGTAGAGGCCTTCTGGCTGGCTTCCTCCTCCCTTGGGGAGACGGGCCCTGCTGCTTCCAGAACTGGGATAGAGGAGGTCCTGACTGGAGCTGGGGGAGGCACCTTGAATGACCTGGGGAAGGTCAGGTGGGATTCGGGGCTAGCCCCTAGGGGGCTCCCCTTTAGTTCAGCAGGGCTTTTGGGGGGGCTCAATCTGGGGTCTTCTGGCTGCCTGCCATTGAGTGCTACTTCTGATTTCCACTTGATAATGCCCCCAGCAGGTAAGAGACGAGTCCCAGATGCATGAGGAGAGACTGGAGTTGGGGATCCTGGGGCTGGCAAAGCAGGGGTAGGGGGGTCTAGAAAGGTTGACGGTGGGGCGGGGGGTATGAAGTCTGGAGGGGTGGGTGTCGATGGTGGGGAGAGGGGAGATGAGGGAGACGAGGTGTCCAGGGCTGGGGGCGGGGGCGGGGCTGTGCTGGGTGGGGGTGGGGGTTCCACCAGCAGGGGAGGAGGAGGGGGAGGGACACACGGAGGTGGTGGTGGAGGGGACTCTCCTGGAGGCTGTGGACTGTCCTGGGGTGGGCCTGGGGCTGGGCCTGGAGGGGGTGGGGGGATGGATGAGTCGAGGTCATAGTGAGGCCTCAGGTCGCCTACAGAGCTGTACAGCCGGAGGTTGCCGTTGACAAGTGAGCTGGTGCCTGCAAGGAGGGATGTGGAGATGTGGAGTAGAGCAGGTCTCGCCTCCCTCCCGCTTTTAACCAGGCTTTCTTTTTCTCTGGCTCTTCAGTGTGTGGGGAGGGGGCGTTACCATGGAGTGGCTGTGGCAGTTTGAGGACAACATGGGAGTAAGTTCTGTCCTCCCACCAGGGGAGTCCTGGAGACTGGGTGGCTCACCGTAACTGCTGAGCCATCTTTCCAACCCAAAGCCAGTCTCTGTGCCTGGCACAGGGAGAGGGGCTGGCCAGGAGAAACACTGTCCCTCCAACCCTTACACCCTAACCCTGACCGAGGACACAGCAATGCCACCTATGCCCTGAGCTGTCCCAGGAGTGACCCTCTCCTGTGATCCCCACTCCAGGCCCCGGAGCAGCCCTCGGTGCTCATACTAAATCCTGTGTTCTCTGTGGGTCCCAGTGAGTCAGGGAAGCCAGGTGTGGTGGTTCATGCCTGTAATCTCAACAGTTGAGAAATTGAGGCAGGAGTTCAAGGCCAACCTGGGCTACATAGTGAGACTGTCGCAAACAAATACAAGAGCCCCCCCCCAATAAAATAAAAGAAAAAGCAGGGGAGATGGGCTCAGTGAGTAAAGGCCTGCAGTGCAAACAGGATCTGAGTTCAGAGCCCCAGCACCCACATAAAAGCTGACAGGCCTGCACCTGCCAGCCAAGTACTGAAAGAGAAGCAGAGGCAGGCCAGTCACTAAGGGGGGAAAGGGACAGAGAGAAAACGTCTGATGCTGACTTCTGGCCTCCTCACACACTAACAGGTACACATGCACACCACACACACACACTAACAGGTACACATGCACACCACACACACACACACTAACAGGTACACATGTATTGTGTGCGCGTGCACGCATGTGTATATATACATACATACACACAAACAGGTGCATATGCAATATAGTATACACACATTAACAGGTACACACGCATACTATATACACACATACACAGACAGGTACACATATATACCATACACACACTAACACGTGTGTATACTACATACTACATACTAGTAACATGCATACTACATTAGCAAAAAAAAAAGGAGAGGGGGAGCAATTCCGGGATCACAGAGAGGTGGGAAGTGGGGGGGGGAGGGGTGCAGACAGGTGGAAAAGAGGAGGGAGCAGCCTGCACAAACCGCTGACTCGTGGTCTTGGGAGACCCTGAGTCCATCTGTCACATCGGTTAGAACCTCTGCAGCAGGGTCTGCCCTGGTGGATGGTGCAAAGGAAGTAAGGTACTCAGGGATTGCGGCTACAGAGATGGACGCCTGGGCGGCAGCACATCCCTCTTCCCGGCCCCTGGAGAGTCTCCCTTCTTCCCTCACACTGACTTTCCCACTTCCCACCTCAGAATGCTTAGGAAAGGGCAGCAAGCCTGGAGAACGGGTTCCTGGAAGGCTTCCCCTAGCCGTGTGATGTCAGCATCACACACAAGGGGCACCTGGAGGTCCCCACAGCAACAAACAAAACAGACACAGAGAGACACTCACTCAAACGTATCCGTTGTCGGGATGAAGGCCAGGGCCTTGCTCATGCTAGCTACTACTGACCTCTGGCCTGCACACACTCTGCCATTTCCTATACACGCTCGACAGGCAGCACTGTCCATTAGTAAATCTTTACCATGGCGAAGGCAGTAATACAATCTGCAGGGGAGGGGTGCTGACGGGGGCTCTTTCACTAGGAAGGCCCCACTGACAGGGAGACCTTGGAGCAGGGGCATGGCAGGAGGGGGTTGAGATGCAGACCCTGGGCTGAAATCCTGCCTAGGCTAATTCACACAATCTCTTGTGGCAGAGGTGGGAGGAGCCGGGAAGCAGTGAGTGACATCCCAGCAGTCCAGCTCAGAGTGATGTCACTGGACAGGTTTGAGTGGCTTACATCCACCCCACAATGCAGTCCTCCAGAACTGTCACTGCTGTCCCCAAGGAGGGCGAGAGAAGATAGACTTGTCTTGCTGTTGCCTTCATCCGGCTGCGGCCTGGTCTCGCCCCCTCCCACTTCCAGGTGAGCCTTAGCCAACCAAGGCTCTCCCCATCTCCCAGCCCACTGGCCTCACTGGCTAAGGTTAAGGCCCAGGACTCTGACTTTGCCACAGAGGAAGGAAAGAGAGACGAAGAAGCCACAAGATCAGAGTTCTCTTACCTCCCAGTCCTTTGTCTGCAAAGCCTTCTGGGACAGAGGGGGTGGGTACAGCCAGCCCATGGTTCTCCTGGGCACTCTGAAAGAGACGAGAGAGGTCAGGGGACGGGGAGATAACTAGCCACGTCTCCGATCCTGTTGTGTTGCTGAAGGAAGTGCAGGGATGGAGTAGTGTTACAACTTCATGAGAATATGGAAACACTAGAGTGAAGTCATTTATTTTAGATTCATCTAATGTATATGCTCAGTGCACACAGAGGCCAGAAGAGGCCAGACTGGAGTTACACACAGTTGGGAGTGACTGTGTAGGTGCTGGGAACTGAACCTGGGTCCCCTGCAAGACCAGCAAGTGTTCTTAACTGATGAGTCATCTCTCCTAAGAGTGAATTTTAGAAGATGAATCTGGGCTGGGGATATATTTCAATTGGTAGAGTGTTTGCCTAGGACATACAAAGCTGAGTTCAAAACTGGGTGTGATGGGGCATGCCTGTCATCTCAGTACCCAGGGTAGGAAGTTCAAGGACATCTTCAGCTCAGTTGGAGCTTGAGAGACATGAGACTTTGGCAAGAAAAAAAAAATCGAGTGTCCCTTTGTCCTTTCTGCTAGAAATGTATGCTTTGGGGCTGCCAGTCACATTGCAAATACAGAATCCGCAAAGATGAGGATCAAGAAATCTCAAATAAAGGCAAACCAAGGAGCCAGGCATGGTGGCACATGCCTTCACTTCCAGCTCAAGACCGTCCAGGTCTACAGAGTGAGCTTCAGGTTATAGTAAGACCCTGTCAAAACAAAACAAAACCAAGGGCTGGTGAGAAGGCTCAGAGGGTAGGGTGCTTACTGAAAGCCTGATGTCCTGAGCTGAGCTCCGTCTCTGGGGACCCAGAATGGAAGGAGAGAACCAACTCCTGGAAACTGTCCCCAGACCCATGGAAAGAACCCCGCCTACAGTGACTCCTCCTGGCTACTCAGTGGCCAAAAGCTAACATCCACATCCCGACCTCCTGATTACTCTGGGCTTTCATCGGGAATTTACAAGAGGAGCGTAAGTGATGAATCAGAGCTTTGGAAGTAGTACAGGTGCCCGTGGATCTCTAAGGTAACAGAGCAGAACATGTTTACACAGCTGTCCAGGTCCTCATCTGAGTGTGAATCTAGTTTGCATTCTCTTCCCCCTGCAAACACACATTTCCATAGACCAACAAAGTGCACACACCTGCAGCTCTGAGGATTGATTGGCAGAGCATCACATGGTGCTAACAAAGGGGCTCAGGGGCTCCGTTCCCAAGCCCACTCTCCTTTCACCAACTAGTCTCCCGGTCTCCCTCCCTCTCTCTCTCATGTCTTTCCTTTCTGCTCCCTTTCTTTTTTGGTAGCGCAGACTGACCTTAACATTCCTACATAGCAAAGATGACCTTGAACTGGCCATTTCCTGCCTTCACCTCCCAGTGCTGGGATTCCAGGTATCACCAGCACAGCTGGCGTTATGTGGTGCTGAGGGTCAAGCAGGGCTCTGTGCATGCTAGCCCTAGCCCCAGGGTCCCCTTCATCTCTAATAAGGATGCTGCCGTGAACACACCAGATGAGGAAGCACTCAGAAGCATTTGAGAACTATTGTGAAGCACATGCTGGCACCAGCACCCAGGTCTATGGAGCCGGTGCTGGGCTTTTTGCCCCTCCACAGCTGCCGCTAAGGGCCAGCTGCACCATGCATTGTAAAATGGGCAAGAGTTGAGAGCACTCACTTTGGAGCCTGAGGCCTAGATGTGATCAGCCCTGCTATCCAGCTGCAGGACTGTGCCTGCTGTCCCTGCCGTGAAATAGTTCTAAAACCAGAATGTACCATCTGAGGAGGTCATGAAAGGAGATGAGGCCGGAAAGCGCTGGGCGCAGCACAGGAAAGCTCACTGAAGGATGCTAAACTTAAGGAAGGAGCCTCCTGCTGGCTGCCTGTGCCTGGCCCTGCTGACCTGCTGCTGTCCTGAACCAGCCAAGCAAGGCTTTGTCTGCCCTCTAGAAGTGCAGAGCCACCCACACACCTCTTGTTTGCTCTCTCCATAGTTGTTAGTTTTATGTGCATGTGCCTGAATATACATATGCGTCCTGTATGTGTGCAGGAGCCCTTGGAGGTCAGAAGGTCGGGCCTCCTGGAACTGGAGTTACAGTGTGATGGAGTCCCACATAGGAGCTGGGACTGAATTCCTGTAAGATTAGTGAGCAAGTGCTCTTGACAGCTGAGCCATCTCTCCAGCTCCTCTAGAGAAAGGGTCTCTACATAACCCTAGATGTCCTGGAACTCACTCTGTAGCCCAGGCTGGCCTCCAGCCCAGAGATCTGCCTGCCTTGGCCTCCTGAGTGCTGGAATTAAAGGCTCGCCAACACACCTGGCTCTAGATGGGTCTTGATTTCCTCTGATGAAACTGGGGGACTTCCTGGTGCCCAGGGACCTACCAGGTACTCAATTAGAAAGTCCAGTTGTCACTGGTGGCCAGATGCTGCCAACCCTCTAGGTTTAGGGACTCAGAGGTAGTAAGGTGGAAGGTGCTCATGAACTATCTATCAGACCCTGGTTGCCAGGACCCCTCAGACATTAGAATAGCTGTGACGACCACATCCTCTCAGCTACCGCCCCCACTCAATCCACACAGTCATAACACACATCCATGTTGTTACTGACTGCACAGGGCAAGGACAGGGTCCCTCCCTGCCCAGCAGACCAGTCTCCCCAGACCCTATGAGATGCACCACACACATGGGAACTGTAACCATCTTCACTGAAGACTCTCTTTGATGTGATGGGGACCAGGGTCAAGAACTCTTGACAACTTTGAAACATAACTGGAAATCGAAAAGACCCGAGACTTGGCATCAAAAGTCTTGGGTTCTATTTGTGCTCAGTTTTGCAAGCGCTGTGACCCTGGATGGGCAGGGAGAAGTTGGAATGGACACTTCGATTCATGATGGGACTGGGAGCTTGCCCTGCATCCTCTCAAATCCTCTGATGGAGCCAACAAAGACTACCTTTTTTTTTTTTAAAACCAGGTCTTGCAATGTAGTCTCACACTGCCTTACCATTCTGTGCTAGAATTAGTCTACCACTACACAGAGATCTATCAACTCTCCAGGATTATAGGGATACAGCTATTTTGATCCTAAAACACCACCAACATGTCAGATTCCTAGGCCCCAGAGTGGAAGCCTGTCATCTTGAGAATGTCTTGCAAGCTCGGGCCTGGGGCTGGCTCTTTAGACACCTTCCTCCATACAAGGAGGCCCCAGACCTCCTTACAGGTCCTGAAGTCCAGCCTCATCCTTCCAGGGTCTCCCAACTGCGAACTAAGCAGTCCCCTAATCCACAAGCAATTTCCCCTATCTCATGGCTTTAGTTCTTAGCAGCCACTTCCAACACTCTCTAGAGGAAACTTAAGCTCATTTGAGTCTTAGCCTCAGAAACAGTGTCTTCCTCCTTTGCTCATGGGACTCAGACTGCTGAAACCTAGGGTGCAGGCCCGGATGGTGTGGAGAGAATCGCCTTCATGGTTGCCCATTTTCTCACAACCCTCCTTAGATCCTGGGGACTGAGGCGAAGCCTCAGGAAGAGGGTTTGGGGATGGGGAGGTGGCCCCTCGGGGAAAGTGCTTGCTGTGTAAGCATGAGACCTGAGTTCCAATACTCTGGAAGTAGTGAGTGCCTCTAAGCACAGCAGTCCTGTGTGGAGATGAAAGACAGAATTCCTGGAAGTTCGAGCATGGGGCCAGCTAGCCAGGCTCAAGTGCAGCAAGAGACCCTGTCTCAAACCAGATAGAAGGTAAGGGTGAACACCCAATGGTGTCCTGTGACCACAGACAGACAGACAGACACACACAAACGAAAAAGAAGGGCTTGGAGGTGCATTTGCAGGCCATGTGTGATGCTGGCATGGGAGAGGGGTGTGCCATGCAGATCATTCAGGGACAGTTGGCATTACTGACTGTAAACAGTTTACCAGGTAACAGTATGTCATCAACACTACCTTCCAGAATGTCACCAGAGCCTGTCTCCCTAGGCAATACACCAGGATTTGGGGTAGAAAAAAAGGACACAATTTCTCAGCTTTTAAAGAGATTCACAAGGAAGCAAAATACAGTTTTGTTTTTCCAAGACAGGGTTTCTCTGTGTAGTCCTGGCTATCCTGGAACTGGCTCTGTAGACCAGGCTGGCCTCGAACTCACAAAGATCTGCCTGCCACCAATACCTGGCTCAGCTTATTTTAATTTTTTAAAACTGTATTTCGGCTGGGCAGTGTTGGTATTGGTGATACACACCTTTAATCCCAGCACTGGGGAGGCAGAAGCAGGCAGAACTCTGAGTTCAAGACCAGCCTGGTCTACAGAAGGAATTCCAGGACAGGCTCCAAAGCAATACAGAGAAATCCTGTCTCAAAAACCCAAAATAAATAAGTAAAAGTAAAGAAATTGAAATGAAAAGCAAATGTGGCTAATCTCTAGAAAAGTCCTATGGAATTCTTTGTACTATATATATTAGGGTTAGTTAGAAAGGATTATGCAATCAAGGGAACTAAATAAAACACTATAAAGTGGCTAAAATAGTAATGATTTAAAAAAAACATAACAAAACAAAAATAAGCTAGGGCCAGGGAGCAGGTGATGCAAAGCGCATTAGGGACCTGAGATCAGATCACAACACCCACATAAAAGGCCGAGCAGGGCGGGGTGGCGCACACCTTCAGTTCCACCGCTCAGAGGCAGAGGCAGGTGGACCATGTTTTACAGTAACCTGGGCTATGAGACCCTGTCTCAGAAAAAATAAAAGCAAAGTTATATCCTTCCTCTGGGCCAACAAGATGGCTCAGATAATAACGTGCTCGCTGCCCAAAAATGTAAGCCTGCAATTGAGTTCCGTTCAAGGCCACGCCCTCCCCGGCTTGGGCAGGAGCCTCACTCAGTGCTCGGGCAGAGTCCAGCCTGGCTCTGCCCGTCAGGAATGTCATGAGACTGGGCCTAGGCACCTCCTTGTCTCTCCAACCCGGGAACACCCAGAAGCTATAGCCGTGGGCCCTGTCGCTGCCTTCACAGAGGATC